AAGAGTAAGTTCATTTTGCTGGGAGAAGTTTGGTGACAGGAGGGAAGTGGGTTTGGGTGGAAATATTGAGCAAATCCCTCAATCTTTGGATGTGGTTTGCATTTCATAGAAGCCCTGAATCATTCAGGTTGGAAAAGACCTCCAAGATCATCCAGTCCAAACTCTGATCCATCACCAGATCAACTAGACCAGAGCACTAAGTGCCACATCCAGTCGTTCCCTGAACACCTCCAGGGATGGTGACTCCACCACCTCCCTGGACAGCCCATTCCAACAGCCCTTTCCAGAAAGAAATTCTTCCTGGAGAAGAAACATCCATGTTTGTGGGTGTTTGATGTTGAAGCTCCCAGCACAGGCAGCTGAGGTAAATCCCAAGCTCAGGATATGGATGTGTAGATGTCCTAAGGGCTGACCTGAATCCCTCACAGCATTCTCGAAGTTCTTAGAAGTACTCATACACAACAAGTTCATTAAAGTCTCAACCCTCCTTGTCCAGTTTTAATCTTAGCATCTAAACTACTTGTTTTCCTGAGTAACATTGGTTCACATGCTTTGTTGGTGCCAGTTCTAGGAAGGACACTGAAAGGATTCTGCTGTGCAGGGAAGGTTTAAATCCAGCATTGCTGCAGGTCAGAGCTGCCCCAATGACTCCAGAGAGACTAAACCAATTCATGTGACCTGTCCATATTCATTATTGCCACATCTTTCCATTGAAAACCCATTTCCTCTTTGCATAATGTGCAATTCTGCCTGTGGATGACAATTTCAGGCTTAAGCAACACCAAGGAACAAAAGAAACACAAAACATCTAACCAGGCTTCACATATAACCAAGGACACCTGAACGTTCACTCGTCAATGTCCCTCAGATTCAAAGCAACCAGGAGAAAATATTTGTTAGAAAAGGGTTTACCCCAAGTTAAATGACTCTCTATGAGAATGGAGCTGAACTTACCAAGTTCACTGAGCAGAGCAAGCCAGGAGGAGCTGTGTGAGGAGTGTTGGGGTTGTGAGCAGTTTTATATTCTTCCCTAGACCTGGGGAAGTCGGTGCAGTTCTCCGTGTGCTTCTCTTAGTCACAAGACAAAATTGGGAAGTACATCAGCAGGCCAATTGCTATAATTATTTTCCTCCACATTTAGGACAATTTTCACATTCCTTGGGTAGGGCATTGTGATTACACCTTGGGAGATTCTTTCATCTAAATGCTTTCCAGGACAAAGGGGTTTCTGGGAAATCACCCAAAGGACAACTGGGAAGGAAACTGGAAGCTACACAGAACAGTTGTAGCTGCACTGCCTGTCAGGCTGAAGAGTTCATGGGCAGTTTCTTCACGTTGTGCCCCTAGAAGGGAGGTGGGTGCTGCATGTTACCTGGTGACGTGAAACACCTGAGGAGGAGAGAAGAAGTAGAGTAAGTGCTCAGGGATTTTACTGACCTTTTTGATTCATTTCCGTCACAATTAATAACAGGTATTCCGTTGATTCTTTTAGGTTCTTCTACTGTCTGTAATTTGTCACATGAGAATTTTGGGCCAAGGCATTGAACCAATTAAATGAGCATCTGAGCAATGTGGTTAAGGCTTAAGGTCTGGATTTTTTGCCTCTTTTCTGGATGAGATTACTAGAAACATTTGCTTGAGTCAGTGCCTTGTGATATCATGCACAGGTGTGATGAGTTTATGTTATTTAGATGTGAGATACATATACGGGAGCTGGCAGTGTATGCTGGCAGCCCAGAACCCACCTGTACCCTGGGCTGCATCTAAAGGATGTGGGCAAGAGGTGAGGGAGGGGATTCTGTCCCTCTGCTCTGCTCTGGTGCCATCCTACCTGGAATACTGTGCCCAGCCCTCGTGCCCCCAAAAGCAGAAGGACATGGAAGTGTTGGAGCAAGTCCAGAGGAGGCCACAAAGCTGCTAAGAGGACTTGAGCATCTCCCTTATAGAGAGAGTTGGGGCTGTTCAGCCTGGAGAAGAGAAGGTTGTGTGGACATCTCAGGGAAGCCTGCCAGGATCTGAAGGGACTATAAGGGAGTCAGGGAGGGACTCTGCATCAGGAACTGGAGTGACAGGACAAGGGGAGATGGGTTCACACTGAGAGGGCAGATTTAGGTTAGATATTAGGTAGGAATTGTTCCCTGTTCTGGTGCTGAGGCACTGGCATAGGTTGCCCAGAGAAGCTGTGGCTGCTCCATCCCTGGGAGTGTTCCAGGCCAGGTTGGATGGGGCTTGGAGCAACCTGGGCTATGTCAGGTGGTTTTGAAAAAAGATTATCTTTTAGGTTCCTTCCAATCCAAACCATTCATGATTCTGTATCCACAATACTGGGCCAATGATCTAGTGCTGCAGAACAAATCTGTTTGCTGTTAGGTCACTACTGGGATTGCAGTAGGGGGAAGGAGGGGAGCAGGTTTTTAGGAAGGCTGGGAGAGCCAGGAGGATGGAGAGCACACGTTCCTTACTGGTGGGAAGCTGAAGCTGGGGGTAACTGGTCTCTGTGCCAGCAGTGAGGTGTCCTGTGCAGTTCCTCCCTGCACCATGGGCTGAGGTAGAACACAAAAGCTGGTGAAGGGTTGGATGTTGCCCATGGCAGAAGGGATTTTTCTAAGCCAGGAAAGGAGAAATCACTTCTCTGATGTCCTGTGGCTGTGTTATCAGGTGAAACACATCTGTATCTCCTTCTGCCCCAAGTGATGCAATGACTCAGCCTGAATAAGAAAAATCTTGCTGAGCCCAGGGCTTCCCTTCCCTGCTCTGTTGACTATACAGCATTGAGGCACCTTTCAGCAACAAACTCTTCGTGTCTAATTTACACAAACATTGCTAAAGTGAGTTCTAATGACTGTTTTGGAAGAGCTCTGATACCAGAAATTCTGATGGGGCTCAGCACTTTTAGGATGTCTGTTATTATCCTCATTTAATATGCAAATGAGGCATGGCTCACTTCAGTGAAGGTCATGCAAAGAGGTGTTTGTTGAGTTTTAAAAAAGCTCTTGTTGTGTTGTATCCTTAGAGGCCACAGCTGAGGTCAAAACCCACAATCAATAAGTTTTGTGGTGAAATATTAATATAATTT